GATCTTAATTGGACTTTTTTAAAGCTTCCAACAACTATAACTTATTCCCAACGGTCATAAACGACTGACAACTCATTCCACACAATAAAAACATTTCAAGGACATTTGAAGAAGGTTACTACACTTATTCAAGCTTAAAGATCAAGATAAAAGAGTCTTCAACTTTATCCTTCTATTTTCTCTTGTACATAGTATATAGAGCTTCATTGAATATATTTTGTATTCATTATTTATGAGTTTTATCTTTGTAACCAGCCACCTAGAGAGATATTGTAACATCCATAATTCGTATAATTATACCTATACAGATTATAGATGTCACCCGAATTTCGAAAACCATTTTCATTTAAACTTTTAATTTGAAATTTATTTCCTTAAAATGGTAACTTATATTATAAAAATATCATATCATATAATTTATATTTTGTTATAGCAAATTTAATTCAAAATATTTTTATGAATAGTGAACAGTAACAGTGAACAGTGATGAACAATACATGTGAACAGTGTACCGATGCACTGCTACAGTGACGTGAACAGTGCACCGATGCACCAAATTTCGAATTATATTTGTACATTGATGCACTGCTACAATAACTTCTGAAAATTACATATAAAACTCATAAAAATTAACATTTCATCACTATCAATTTATCAACTTGTTTCTAAATTAATTCAACAAAACAAATTAAACATTATCAAATTACATGCCACTAAATTACACCATAGGATGTCTTACTGATATTGAAATATACTCATCGATGCTTGATGTCATTCCGAACTATTTATTCTACTACTGGCTTTTTACCTACGCGTGAAAATCATTACACGCTAAGTATAAACTTAGTCAGACAATTTAAAACAATATACAGTGCAATACGAATCATGCATGAATTTCAATGACAAATTCAAAATGCCATAAAATAATTTTATTTGCATAATCAATATTTTACCATTTATTAACCATAAGCTTGTAAGCTTATTTTACCAAAATACTTACCATTTGTACCATAAGCTCGTAAGCTTATTTTACCAATACACTTGCCATTATTCCATAACCATATACCATAGACAATAGCCCAATATACAACCTTGAGGACCCTGGGTACACGAGTCAATTATAAGCACCGTAGTGCTATCCCGAGTATGACACATAAGGTCGTGTCCACCATTTGTACTAAGTATCCTTAAGTACAGTCCCGAATATGACACATAAGGTCGTGCCCACCATATACACTAGGTATCCTTTAGTGTATTCCCGAATATGCAGCTTGTTGCTAGACTCTATGGCATGCCAACTATACCCTGTCCCTCAATGACTTACTTGGGCATACAATATATTTTATTTGATCCATCCATGGCAAAATATATTATCAATATTTAGCATTGGGCAGTTCATACCCAAAATAACATTCATGATAAATATCATATGCAAAAATCAGTGATCAATGCATTTTATTTTCAACCTTTGACATATTTAGAATATATCAAATATATGATAAATGACATAAATATCATGTCAACATAAACAAGGCCGACTTATCGCAAGTCTTCCTGATGATGTATAAAACATCCATGCATAATGTCATACATGTATTGCACTCACCTTGACACTTTATATCTTTCAAAATAGGAGCCTCACTATGTTTCACAATAAACCCTTTTTATACTTGACTTGCTTCAATCGCAAATCAATCATAATCTGTATAAATCACAATTCTTAACAATTACATATGTTAGTATTGTACTAACATAAACACATTCCAAAATAACTCCAAAATATACTTGAACTCATTTTCTATCAAAATACTCAATACTCAATAATTCCTATAACATTGGAACCAACTTTTCCAATTTACCCAAAATGGTCCTTCACCATTTTACCACTTAAATTTTTAATACTCATAATTCCAACATTAAAATATATTCCCATTCAAATGCTTTTACAAAAGCATAATTACATTTAAGTACACCAACTATACAATTGTTGTACTTAAATCACTAATCTTTTCAAACTTCCAAAATAATCATAGTTCACACTTAACACTCATTTCAATTCCAAAACAACATTTTCCAGCAAAGTACATCAATTATAACTCCTACACAACAACCAATCAATTTTCCATATTCAGACAACTCGTACTACCTTTAAAGAATCAGTATTTTGTATTTATATACAGACTTTAATTTAATTCCATTTATTCTGTTGAAAACTATACTTGAATACGAATCTATCCATATAAAGAACTCTTTCTAATTCATTTTGTACAATTTATGGTGAATTTTCAAAGTTTACCAACAAAATCTGTTTTGCAGAATCTGATGTCCGATTTTTCTGACCTTTCCTTGGTTAAAAATTCATATCTTTTTGTATACACCTTGAAATTTATCCCCGTTTGTTTTAAACAAAACTAGATCGATATCTAAACACAATATATAAAAATAACCTCCAAATTATTTTTATATAAATTCTGGTGAATTTTCAAACCCACCGTAAATCTCAAAATCTAAATTGTTTTCTTCTTCATCAAATCTTACAACCAATTCTTTAAAATCACTTAACTCTTCAAAACCCATAAAACACAAGAATCAACATCCCCTTCATCAACTCAAGATGAACTTGAAAATGAAACCATAGTAATATTCATGTCAAAACGTAGAGAATTGAACGTAAAATATTTTTCCTAATCACACCAAAATCTAATTCTCAACAAGATTGCTTCAAAATTCAAAACAAAAATACCTACCTTGCAAGCTTGGGGGTGTCGGTCTTGGATGAAGAAGAAGCTGAAGATGCTCCACCATATTTGATATTCTAATGCTATAATAGATCCAACACATGCTTAATAATATCATAATGGAATTTTTTTTATTCCATTAAATAGGAATTTCCATTTTTGCCCTTAATGAAACTCCATAGTCACCATAAAACCAAGCCATCTGACCCTTATCATATTACAAAGTCAAATATGAATTAATTTGACTTTGACTTACGAAAATGCCATGAATTTTCAAAACTTGCGTTTTAGTCACTAAATTCCACTGTTTCAGTTAAATCTGAAAAATTGCACATTTCCAAACCAAATTTCTCTGATCCAAAATATTAAAATAATATTTTCAACCATTTTATAGCATCCTTCAATTTTTTTGTAAAATTCCAATTTGATCTGAAATACCGATTTCCTTACCGGCTTTAACCCTTTCCAATTTTTCTTTACTAAAATTCCAAATCCAAAAAATATGATTTCAATAAAAACTCCATTCCCAAGAGTAAACCATCTATTTATGGAATAAAATTCTTTTTATGAAATTATCGCTTAATTCCCTAAACTTTTTCCCAATTTTCTAGTTTGACCATCAAACTTTCCAAATTTTTATTTTGGTTATCGTCTAAATTTTTGTGGTATTACATATATCCCTTGTTTACACAAAATCAAACCTTGTAAAAGGGAAATGGTTTTAGTTTAGCCTTACAAAAACTAGAGTGATTCTATCTTAGCCATTGGAAGATAGAGTTGTAAAGTTACACATTATTCTTAAAAGTAAGAGTAAATTAGTTAAAATCCTTAGTGGTGAAAAGCTAAGGTAGTGGATGCAGACTTTGATTAAGAAAGTCGAATCACTATAAATCAATTTGTAGAAAAAAAGTTTAAATTATTTATTTAAGTTTTTACCAAACTCTATCAAAGACAATTCACTCTCCCTTTTGACGATTTTTGATTGATCGATCGAGCTATATATATATATAATAAATAAGCTGATCTTGTGACAAGATATTATGTTATCTTTTCACTAGAACATGTGATAAATTTCCACAACAACTATCCTTTGGTTTATTCTTCATTCATCTCTTTTAAATCAAATAGATGATATCACATGATATTTTGTTTGATGCTATTAATTAATTTAAAAGTATTTCTACTAACGTGACAGTGAATACATTATGTCAGCATTTTAATCTATGTGAATTTATTAAGTTAAAATGGAACGTCGATGGTTAGTCAATTACTAATTTCCTTTTAATTAGGAGATATTTTATCTAAAATAAAACATTTGAGGTCAAAATATTTTAGAAAAAGAATATGATTAAAATGATTATTTTGCCAAACGTTAAAAACTAATTTCATTATTATGCCTCCAGTAAAATATTCACTAATATTATGTGTTTTCTTTCTCTTTTGACCATCCGCATTAAAAAAATCATTAAGTGGATTTAATTTTTAATGCTATTTTATTTGATTTTATGAACAGTACACATGTTATTTTTTATATTTATTCGATAAATTAAATGATGACATGTATTACCACTTTATCAAATAAAAAATATATATATAAATTACTATTTAAGTTAAAGTGTGATTAAAAATGGATAGCAATTAGGATTATTTTTTATTTGATTCGAGAATAAAAATTATCTTGTGAGTCACATAATAAACGGGATAATATTGGTTTTTCTTATAAATAATCTCAACAAACTAATTCTTAAACTACTTTATCTCTTATATATATCTTACTTTTGAGCTATATAATCAAATAGTTTTAATGGTTAAGGGAAGTATTGTTCTCCTTAAAGATTTTAGATTCGAACATGTACGTCTCTGGGGTATATAAACATTATTAATAATTAAAAAAAGATCATGAACAAATATTGTCTTACAATCACGTCAAACTATTTAAAAAAAACTCTCAAATTATAAACTAAAATTCCATAATAATATGAACAGTATATTTTTGTTAACTACTAGGAAATAGCTACTTCTCTTAAAAAATATATACTCATCTATCTTATCATGATCAATTATCCAAATCACTAATTATTTAAAAAATTAAAAAATAGTATAATAATATTTTAAAGTTAAGAGTTGTGGACACATCTACTAAAGATTAAGTCGGATCAAGAGATCATAAAACTCTGTCATGGGCCATTACTCATTAGATCTCAGTGCAGACCTAAGGCCCAAAATTCATGTGTTGAAATCTCAGTTTTTCGAAAGAAATCTGTAATTCCTCTCTACCCTAAATCCCTGCAACGCTCTCCAAGCTCTGCCGTCGCCAAATCTGTGTAAGCTTTTCTCATTCATTTTGACTTTCAGAGAATTTTACTTTCTTCTATACTTATCTTTATAATGGATGTTTTGGAGAGCTTTCCCCGTAAATTGAAAGCCTTTGAAACTATGAATTACCAAATTCTTTATAGGGGCAAAATTTAACCTCCTCGTTTGATATTGTTTATGTTATCACAGTACCCATAAGCTTTGCTAAAAGAAATGATAAAGAGGAGGTTCTATAAATTTGAACACGGTGATAAAGATAATGTATCGGATTCGTCTTCGTCGTCTTCGGACTCTGAACTTGAAGTGGAAGCCTCGGAAGAATCTGAATCAGAACAAGAAGTTTCTGCTCAAGTAAAACAACATGATCAAGCTTGCTCCACGTCTTCTGGTTTGTTTCTTAGGTTTTACTGATGACTTGTATTTATCCTCAAGCTTTAATGTGTTTTCATCTATCAGTTCATATCCGAGATTAAATTGTTTTCGTGAGATTAAACAATTTGTATGCTTGTTTGATTTTAGGATATGAGAGCGAGGATAGCTCCGCAAATGAAGTTGGTGTGGACTCTGCAGGTGTAATTTTATAATCGAATTGAGAGAGTTCATAATTTCGTGATTTGCATGAGAAACAAAACTTCGGTTCATGAACTTTGTATGCATATGGTTAAAGAAAGTGTTGCATTGTTCATGTCAAACAATAGAAGCCATGCCTAAAATTTGCAAAGAATAGCGGCTATTAATCTGTCTTTCTAGTATGCATTTTAGAATGTCTTGATATCTAATATGCCTGAAGTTTGATTGGTGCTGTTAAAATCTGTTGCAAGTAAGCTGACTCTTTCTCTATAGATGAGAAAAGTTTTGCATTTTTTTCTTGCCAAGGTATATAAGCCATGTCTGAAGTTCTCTAAGATCGCAAGTGTTAATTTATCTTTCTAGTCCGCATTTGTAACTTTTCCTGATATCTTGTTTGTTTGAAATTCAATTGGCTCCATTAAAATCCATCTTATAGGTTAGTTGACTCTCTTTGTAAATGAGAAAAAGTGTTGCATTTTTCATGTCAAAGTATATAAGCTATGTCTGACACGGTTTGAATTTCAGCTGTTAATTTGTCTTTCCGGTTAATATTTAAATTTTAAATATCGTCATGTTTTCTATTAATTCCGAAGTTCAAATTCAATTGATGACATTAAAATCTGTCATAAGTAAACTGATTATTTCTCTCTAAATGGGGAAAGAACACAACAATATCTCATGCTCATCCTTTGATACAACGGTTGTTTTCTACTTTTAACATTGCTTGCATCTTCCTCTTTTATATTTAAGATATTTATAAATAGGAATGATGATCTATGTTACTTGAATTTGGGTACAGGTGTCAAAGTTTTTCCATGTATTCTCTGGGTCTTTGAAGGATCAATATTCTCGTAAACATGTCTGGATAAGTGTCTAATTCAAGCGTCCTAAATTGAACGTTGGAGTAGTATTTAACATGTCATGATTTTCATTTAGACATTATATAATATTAGCATGCATTGTATGTGAATGATAAAAAAATGCTCCTTTATTTTTTGTGGTTAATATGACCTGGTTTTCCAGGTCTTATAGATGATGATGAGGATCCTGAAGATGATAAAAAAATATTTATCAACAATAAGTTGCATACTAAACACGGTGCTCAATTACGGGGGGGAAAATTTCATACCCCAACCAAAGAAGAACCAATGCTGGATGATTTCCCGTGCTGTATACTGAAATGCAAATCGGTTTTTAAGTGCAAGTTGTGTCCTAGAATTGTCTGTTTGAATGAGGAGACTACAAGGGTTCACCTTAATTCCAAGGTAAGACATCAGGCTTTCTTGTTTTCTCTTTGTAGTGAAATACAGGATAATCATTCCATTGATGGAGAATCCATATGCCAATCTCCAATCCAGTCCTGAAAAGTTTTTAGACTATAGTAATTTTTTATATAGAAGTTGTTTACCTTCAAATTGAGGATGTGATAACAAAATTTGATGTGATGTGATGTCCGGATGTGAATTGATGATATTATACACTTTCAACATTTATATGTGGTGCCAGGATGTAGATTTGTGGTTCCAGGCATCAGTTTTGTGTTGCTTGTTTTGTTTAACATAAATTGATGCAGATCAAACTAAACTTCCTTTATCATTGTAGAGGCATGCTCGATCCAAGAAATTACTCGAGGAAGGTAGACTGAAGACTATGCTCAACAGTGATGGGGAAATTGAGAATCAGGAAATCGCTGCAGAAACACGTGCTCCAGTTGATGCTGTTGCAAAGGTTGATTTGCCTGAAATCTGAAGTTTTCTGTTTGATTTTGAACATTGAGTATCCATGCAGGAACCTGAGTTCTACTCTATTGTCTTGTACTAGGATAAACCGAAAACGAAAAATAGAGGACGCCAACGAAGGGTGAAAGGTTCAAAAAGAAAGGTAACAAGATTTCAAGTTTTCATATGTTTCTTCTGTATTTTTCGTTGGGACCTAAACTGATTTGCCATATAAACTGTAGAGAACGAGAGAAGGGTCTACAAAACATGGATCCAAAAGGGTGCGTGGGAATGAAGATTGAAATCTTTTAAAAGAGTAGGTTGGAGAGTAATGTAAGAATTAATTTCGGTTCATCTGCAAAAACAGAGTTATGTAATGCAACCAAACCAACCATAACCTAAGAAAGTTTTGGGTTTCCCATATGCTTTTTTGCGTGAGTGTGCTGTTTTGTTTTGTTAAATGTGTTCGTAACCCACGGAGTTGACCTTCGATTTCATTGTTTGTAGGATTTGTTGGGTTCATACATTCTTAGTTATGACTTGTGTATTTGCTATTAGCGTTTTTGATTTTCTGGTGGATATATTGATACGATATGATCCTTCTTGCAATGGAGTTTCTAGAAAGCTTCAAAGCAGAAATCAGAAGAGAAGGGAAAGAAAAGAGAATTGAAGATACGAAGGAATCTGTTTTTATAAAACATGAGTTACCGCATTTTACAGTATCCATCGGTCATATATACTCCAACACTTGGGCTAAAGACGAATGTAGTCTATTGATGCTCTTGGATGAACCTTCGATAAAATCCCGTCAGTCCCAAGAATCGTCTCCTTTTATATCTATATTGGCCACGTTTTAATAGCTTTCACATCTAACGACAGTGTCCAAAACATAAACAAATCAAAAGTTTAGTGACTAATACAAATTTTAAAAGTTAAATGACCAAAGCAAAGAATACCCTAAAAATTCAGTGACAACAAAATTATTTACCTCTTATTTATCTCGAATCGAACTGATCTCGTACTTCTAGCAGCTTAAATTCTATTCAACTCATCCTTGACGTCGGGTAAAGCGGTTGGAGCAACTGAGATGACAGAAGTCAAACAAATAATTCCATTTCTACAATATATCATCTATATATTTAGAAGTGTCGTAGATCAAACTAGGTGCTCCTACCAGGAAACATGAATAAGTTATTGTCGTATATCTCTGAACTGGACAAATTGGGTAATATGATCTGCATCATTATGTGGTGTGAAAACTCCAAAGCTTCTTTCCTATCGAGACTTCCCCAGGGTGCTCGATTTCGTCATCCTCTTCATTCTCATCCTCGTCTTTAAGCCCTTCGCTGTGTGCTTCATTTCTGTAGTAATTTCCATCGACGTACTCGCCAACCCCTCCCGGTGTGCCATTCACCTCCTCACTTAATGCTGCATTGGCGACAAATGTTTTGGTTGTACCAGCATCACCATCCTTGGTGTCCAGAGCTTTCTCACACTACATAAAGACAAGTAATAAAACATCTCTCCGAAATGGTGAAGTTCAGCTCTAGTTGTAGCTCCTTATAAATATGAGATGCTACAGTGTCAGCAACTAAGCAGATAACAGAAACCAACAAACACCATGCTATCCACAGATAATTTACTTATCTATGTCAAGTATTATCATACGAGCCACAGCATTCCATCAAGCGACATTGGACAACTTAAATAGGAAAATCATTACTTATGTTTCATAGAGATGTAACTTTGTAGCAGAGATTATCTGACATGCATATTAGCATATATCTGCATCAAACATTCACATGCTAGAGTGCAAAAAATTAAAATTTTCAAGGCCCCTTACCTGCTGCAAAAAAACCTAATCCAAATAAAACGTATGTACGAACATATTTGACTGTATGGATAAATGAACTATAAAAAGGGATCAAGTATTAAAGACTGTTGACGAATCATAAATTAGAATCGATTGACATGAGAAAACTAACCACAACCGCAAATTGAGTATTCAAATCCAATCAAATGATACAAAGCAAGAAAGATCAATATAATAATAAATAAATACCATCTTGATCAGTTACGACAATATCAAATACAACCTTGAGAAAAAAAATTAAAAAATAATTTATCTTTATTATTATAAATATTAATTAATTTAATTCATATTATAATTAATATACTTTCAAATATATGTATTTATATAATTATAGTTACACTACTTTAAATATTTTTATTCATCAAAATATATTAAATAAATAAGTTGACCTGGAGATTAGGTATTATGCCATACTTCTATTAGAATGTGGGATTAATTTGTACCATCCTTCAGTTTATTCTCTATTCTTTCATTTTAAACCAATTAGATGATCATGTATGGCAACGTTTGGTTGATTATTATTAAATTAATAAAAATAATTAATTATAATTATTTGAAAAAAATGTTAACATGACAATGTTAGTTAATTAATAAATTTCTATCCAAATAAGATATATTATATCTTAAAATAAAAGATTAAGAATTAAAGTACTTTAAAATATAAGAATCAAAATAATTATTTTATCAAACATTAGGGAGTAATTTTTTTAGATAAGTTTCGTACTATTACCCAAAGAAATAGCTCAAAAAATTGCTGGTACAAAAAATACATCAATCAGTCAACAAAAGAAGACTAAATGCCACAAGCTATACAAAGCAACTGATTTACATTATCCCTCCCAAATTTCCCTACCCCTAACTTTGATCCTAACAATTTCCCTAATACAATCTGTTATCTCACCCCTACATCTTTCCATGCCTCTAAGAATCCTAAGATTCCTCTATTCCCATTAGCAATACATTACGCACTCCAAGCCACTTTAAGAATATAAACAATTAGTGACTTACCCTTCTACTGGCCTTCGATCCAACCTCCTACAGGCATTCGAATACTGCAAAGCTCTAGAACATCCCTTCAAATAAGCTTTGAATAGGAGCACTCAAAGAAAATATGGTCTATTGTTTCCTGGTCCACGCCACAAAATCTACAGGGCCCCTCGACCACCAACCCCATGCGCCTCAGACGATCAGCAGTTGGGAGTCTATTTAGGACGGTCATCTAGGCAATTACAACATGCTTTGGAAAGTTTATGGAAAAAAAAACAACCTAGGTGTAGACACACATTTTCTTAAAAGATAGAACTAGCAAGAGTTTATCTCCTAGGAGGACTCTTCCACCACCATATATTTTAAAGCAACAACCACACCAACAAACGTACAACAACCGAGCAAGAAGTCTAGTTGCATTAGAATTTTATTGTTAATAGGATTCTAAAAATAGTTAATTTTTTTTCACTATAAATATATGTAATCCTCCCCATTTGTAACACACGATTTACATACAAAAATACAGAGCAAAGCACGGAAAATACAAAGGTAAAGCTATTGTAAACTATTCGAAAAGGAAATCAAAGGTAGCATCTTTTTTACTTTTGATTCAGTCTCTTACATTTACGTTTTAGTTATTATTATTTTATTTATTTAACTTTATTTATACGTACATTTCCCTTGTTACTCATTTTATTTAATTGTTTTATTATTATTTTTTTTCATGTAATATTTTTTTTACATTTTATGCATTTTCTTTTTTACTTTAGCATATATTTTTATTTTTTTAGATTATATATATATATATATATTATTTTTTTATTATCAGTTTTATTAATTTATATATATATATATACTATTTTTTTTTTATTTTTTTATTATATATATATATATTATTTTTACTTTTTTATTATTATTTTATTTATTTGTTTTATTTATATATTTTTTTTTCTTCTTTTTCTTTATTTTTTTATATTTATTTTACTTAATATTTTATCTTTGCTTTCTTTATCTTATCTTTTATTTAATTTGTTTTTTCTTCATTTTAATTTAATTAATTTATTTATTTCTTACCTTTTTATCTAACATGGTTTTTTGACCTTCTTAAGGTCACACCTTTAAAACTATCTAAGGTAAGTAATTGTGATGGTATTTTTACCTTTTAATTTTAAATTACAATTTTCTTAATTTAAGACAACCGACAAATTAATTGGTACCGAAAGGGCGGTTCAAAGGTGCTAATCGTTCCTTGACCGTAACCGACTCCCGAACCCGACACATTTCTGGTAAAAATGCAGATCAGGTAAGATGGTGTCCGACCCACCTAAATTTGTTTTAAAGTGGTCGGTGGCGACTTCCAACCCAATTATTTCAAGTCGAAGCCCAATTCGGGGCCTAACCGAATGATGGTTACGACAGCTTGGCGACTCTGCTGGGGACAGGTAAGTGAGTCAGGCTAAGGTAATTTCCAGTTGTCTTTTTAACGAAAATGGTAAGTTTAAATTGTAAGGTAACATTTCGATCCTTATTACTTACTTTTGATTATATTTTCGAGTAAATAGTTGTACTAACCGTTTTCTAATGATTTCAGCCCTTCAAAGCTTGTTTTTCACTTAAGGCTCTAAACCCGAGCTCCAAAACCTGTTTAAGTGGGGGTGAAAGCGACGCCTTCGTGTGAATTTATTCACCGCACAGGCCTAGCAAGTAGCCTTCGGGATTCATATACCTTATGTTTTCGTGTGAATTTATTCATCGCATAGACATAAGGGAATATGTCTGGGGAATGTGTCCTCTCGAGTTTAACTTAGTCCACACAAGCTTGTGATGGGTTTAGGACTAAGGGTCTGGTAAGCCCAAGGGGAGCCGGCAAGGAGAACTCGGGTACCATTTTCTAGAACCTAAACCGAGAGATTACAGGGAATTAGAGCCCACCCCAAAACCTAATTCAAAACCCTAGGCTGCTTTGTTTCATGCTTTACTTTCTGTTCAAAGCATGCGAACTAGACAAATATGCGGTTAGGATTTGTGTGGAATTAGCATGCGGGATAAAGATCATGTCCGGGTATGTGGGGTAGATATCATGTGGGGTAGAATTTTTCGTTTTTATTATTGTTTTGATTTACCTCACTAACTCTATTTTACTTTTGTTCTCTTTTATTTTGTTTTCATCATTTGCATCATTTAAAAGAGGTGTTGATACACCAAAAACGTGTTTGTTAAAACATGAATGATATGCATTAATGGACAAAGGGGTTGTAATACAAGAGGTGAAAAACACAGGGGTCCGACTATGGTCAGAAAAGACTCAGAAAGAAAATGAGGATAATCTGGAAGACAACTATATGTCACATTCGATCAAGAAGACATGATGCCCACAATCAAATAGATCAAAAGTCAACTTTTCAAAAATGGGTTGACAAAGGTGGCAGGGGCAAGACGAGAAAAAGGTTACTGACCTCGAAAGTCCCTTCAAAGACAACAAGAACAAGATGACAAAACGATAGCTGAATTGGAAGCCATTGTCGACAAATTCAATGAACTTCAAATAATCCCTTTGATGGAGGA